AGGTAGGTGACCCTCTCCATACCCACTCCAACTCTAAGCTCCCATTCTTCTCTATTAATGAGAATCAAAATGAACAATCCATTTCTAGCCTCCTTTATTGTATTTTCTTTTCTATTTAACATGCCCATTTTGTGCAATGCAATTCAGTCACCCCGTTTCCTGATGCTTCCTCTTTTTCCATCTATCCTATTTGTCTTGGGCTTCTTACTATGTACTATGGAAGTACATAGATGAAAACATCTATGTACATTGAATATCATGATTGTATTTACCATTGTTCATAATGTCAGGTGACCCTATAGGCTTGAAACATTAATCTGTAAGTCTCATAGAGGGTTTTAACTTTTTCCTCATGTGAATAAAAGTTAAAATGAAGTACTCTGGGCCTAATAGCATTGTCACTGTGAGAACAGAAGGGGCCCTATGGATGGAGGAGCAGTGGAGCCTAAAGGGATACGTCTAGACACTCTTAAGCTACCACAGCAGACAGTACTGGAGTCAGGGCTCTCAGTAATGTGCAGCACAACCAAATCCTACCTGACACCCATCTTCAACTACTTACCTGGTAAATCAATTAACTTGGGGAAGTTCTTTAGTCATTTTGACTCAGTGATTCTTCATGAATGAGAATCACAATAATAAACTCAAGTTAGAAAAAATAAAATAAAAATATACATGAAGGTTTGTTTTTGTAGGTCATGAGGCTTGAACTCAGAGCCTAGGTGCTGTCCCTGAGCTGTTCTTGCTCATGGCTAGCACTCTACCACTTGAGTCACAGTGCCACTTCCAGATTTTTCTGTGATTTAGTTGGGGATAAGAGTCTCATAGACTTTTCTGCCTGTGTTAGCTTCAAACCTTGATCCTCAGATCTCAGGTTGCTGAGTAGCTTGGATTACAGGCATGAGCCACCAGAGCTTGGCTATATGGAAGATTTCATTGGAACCTTTTCATATAATAAATATTAAGTATTAATGTCAGCAATCCCATAGCATTATTATATGAAGAAAGTTCAACCTCAATAAAGGAACATGGGAAACTTCATTTATCAAATTAGCAATCTTTTGCTTTTGGCCAACACTGTAGTTTATACTAAAATGTCCTCTTGCTTGCTCAGTTGGCACTCTACTACTTGAGCCACATCCCCAAGTTAGACTTTTCTGGTTATTTTGGAGAGGGAATCTCACAGACTTTTCCACTTGGGCTGTCTTTGAACAGTGGATCTCTGATTGTAGCCTTCTGAGTAGCTAGGATTATAGATGTGAGCACCAGTGCCTGGCTGAATCAACAACTTAAAGAATGACACTAGCTGCTCACACCTATAATCCTATCTACCGAGTAGGCTGAGATCTGAGAGTTAAAGTTCAAAGTCAGATTGGGCAGGAAAACCTGTGAGACACTGATCTTCAATTAACTACCAGAAAAGCTGGAAATGGAGCTGTGGCTCAAAGCGGAGTGCTAGCTTTGAACAAAGAAGCTGAAACAGTTCTCAGGCCATGAGTTCAAGCCCCAGGACTGACCACACACACACACACACACACACACACACAAAAGAATGAAGTGCAATATGTACTCATATATATCATTGGTGTTACTGTAAATTGATTCAGATAGTGAAGAAATGATTTAGGAAATGCTCCAGAGGAAAATGCTTAGAAACAGCGAGACCTAGCAATTCTACTCTGAGTATTTAGCATTAAGATTTAAAACTACCACAGAATTTTCAGGAAGTTGTCAACTGTAATGCTACATATAACTGAAAATCTGGAAGCAACAAAATGGTCCAACAACTAGAAATGTTTGGCTGGGATAAATGAAATATTATAGTCATTAAAATTAAGTGACTAAACAGCATGGAAATACACATATATAACATTAAGGAAAATACCAGCTCCACAGCATAAATAAAAAATTCACACAATAGAAAAAAATTAAGAAAAGATATTGCTGGTATTTGGGTTATGATACTATTTGATGATTTCCCTTTCTATTTCCTGTTTTACTGATTCCCTATAATAGTAATGAGTGAATTAGGATTCTTTTAGCTTCTTTTAGAAAATCTAACACACTTAAATGAAATGACCTTTCCTATCTCAGGTGCCTAATAGCGCTGGTAAGCGCAGTGCAATGCAGATGCTCCGATATAGTCAAGGCAGTGTTTCAGGGCGATGTTTCCGTGACATCTCCACACCCACTTGTGCTATCTCCACCCATCCTGAATAGATAGCATTCTTCTAAAGACTGGTTCACTTCAAGAATGCAACAAAGTAGCAGCCAAAAACAAACAAACAAAAAAAGAATTATGCCCAATAGCAAGCAGACCTGTTGCCTTGTTAGGAAGCAGCAAGTTAGTAGTGGAGAGATAAGCAATAGTGTCTTTGCTAAGTTGCTACTACTTTAATTTTTCAAAGTATGCTATTGCTACCAAGATTTTTTTAAAGCCATTTATTTCAGTTAAGAAAATTTGGAGAACAGAAGGCATCAGAAACTCACATGTGATCTTTTTACACAGGACAAGCATTTATAAACATTTTGAAAAAAATCTAAACAATACAGGCAACATTATAATACAGCAGATATAAACATAAATAAAAATAAATCTGTATATCTACCTACCTATTCCCAATTCATTTCAAAATGTATTTTCCTGGCTCACTAACATTTCATATATGAAAAAAGCATCATTTTATTCAACTGTCTTAATTCCATTTTCATCATTTCTATAATGAACATCACTGAATAGAATATTTTACTAAATCTCTCATCTAGTTCCTTGGGATAATTTCCAATAACTTAAATTACTGTAGCAAACTTTTATATCTTGCTAAATAAATGCATATTAAATAATTGAGATAAAAATCCAATAAAACAGAAAATTAGAATCATATTTGCTTTGTAACACTAGAAGTCAATCAAAACAAAACATCAGTTCTTATAACTTTTTTGTTGTTGTTGTTGCTGTTTTGTTTTATTTTTTGATGGTGCTATGGCTTGAACTCAGAACCTGGGTGCTGTCCCTGAGCTTCTTTTCCTCAAGCCTAGTGCTCTATCACTTGAGCCACAGAGCTCCACTTCTGGCTTTTTCGTTAATTTATTGGAGATCAGAGTCTCGTGGACTTTCTTGCCCAGGCTGGCTTTGAACCATGATCTTCAGATCTCAGCCTTCTCAGTAGCTAGGATTATAGGTGTAAACCACTGGCACCTGGCTAGTTCTTATAATTTAAAAAAAAACATTTTGTGCAAATTAGGCATCACATAAATGTAAAATATTATTCTGATGCAAACAATGAAAACCAATTAAAAATACTCAGTGATTTATAATTTTTATCACATTTTCTTCACCTTCAGTGACATTCAACATTGTATACCCTATCTGTTATTGTAACAGAAGCAACTTTTGTCTTAATTGTATTTTTACTCTGAAGATTTAATTCATTACAAAAAAATTAAGCACCAAACTATGCTCTATAAGATGAAGCCATGAAACTGGGAATATTGTGTGCAACTATGGGAGGCAAATATATAAGAGCCAAAATAAATGTGGTAATACAATGGAACTTTGTTTCCCCCAAATACTTGGGCTTGAACTCAGTGTCTCATGCTCTTGTCTGGCTTCCTTGCTCATGGCTGGTGCCATGACTCTAACCATGTTTGTTGCCAGTTAATTGGAGGTGGGAAGTCTCCTGGACTTTTCTGCCTGGGCTGACTTTGAACCAAGATTTGTCATATCTCAGCCTCTTATGTACCTAGGATTACAGGTGTGAGCCATTACTGTATGGCTAAAACAAAGAACATTTAACTATGGTAAACAATAAAAAAATTATTATCTCCTTTTGGCATATTTTTGCTAATTGTTTTTTTTCTTATTCTGTCTTTGGTATTTTGTGGTTTCATTTAAAAGTCTGCATCTACAAGCTAAGAATGCTGAACTAGCTGTAATTACCCTTCCATCATTTGTCTGCTCTAAGCCCAGATCATCTGTGACTTTAGGACAAATTCTGATTTCCTGGACTTAACATGGCTATAATACCTCTGCTTCTGCTTTTTCTGGCTGAATAACTCTTGATCTGGAGTTGTTCATACCTCGGAAAAACATATCCTAAGTAAGTTATTACCTTGTTCATGTAACTGTACAGTATTTTTACAATAAAAAGACATATTTAAAATAAAAGACAAAAAATAAGCCAAAATTAAAAAAGAAAGAATATATTCATCATATTATATACTTAAGAAATTTGGTTAGCTTTGGAAAATTGCACCCAAATCTTAAGATGGAGGTTCAGGTCTCACTAAAAAATACACATGCTAATCACAATGGAAACAATGGCTCATCCAAACAATGTACAGTAGGTTACTTACCAGAAGAAAGCAGGCATATGTAAAACTTTTATGAAAGATATGAAAAAAATTACATCATCATGATTAAGGCTCATGGAGATTTAAAAAAAAAAAGAAAACCCATCAGGGCTTACAACAAAATACAGCTCTGGGTCACTTATATTGACTGTATAGTCTGTATGAGAATTCTGGGTTGATTGTCCACATGATAAAAAAACATGAGACTTAGCTATTAACTAGTCTATTTATATAAAGCATAATTCCAAATGTAAATCCTATTTAATTTCAAGATGTTGTTCAGCTGTGCCTAGATCTAACTTGTGTTATTTATATTTACCTTTACAAAGGTTTATGTTCTTCTAAGAAAGCAAATATTAAGAGCAAAACAAGGAATGCTACAGAAAGTAAAGGTCAATATAAATCAGTCAAAACTAAAAAGAAAAATCTGAGAAATTATTTATCTTCTTAATTACCCATCTACTTAATATAAATCATTTGTTAATTTATGAAAACGGAATGATTAGTCTAAAATGCTAAAATGTAACTTAAGACATTAACTGAAAGTATGAAATAACCACATAAAGCTAGGTACCAATGGCTCACACCTATAACTCTAGCTACTCAAGTGGCTGAGACCTGAAAGATTTCAACTCAAAGCCATCCTTGGCAGAAAAGTCCAAAGATTCATGTCCAGTTAACCAGTAAAATGCTGGACTGGTATGTAGCTCAAGTGACAAGGCTGAGCAGCACTAGCTGAGAGGACTTGAAGCCTTGAGTTCAAACCACAGTACCAAAAAAAAAAAGTTTAAACTAATTTATATTTAAAACATTAAAACTAGTTTTGAAAGGTCAAGATAGAATAACATAAAACTAAGTTTTATAAAATTGAATCAAAGGTAAAATGGAAATTGTTATAAAAGAATAGAGTGCCCTAAGTCTGTTAAATATGTGAAATTAAACTGGCTATTTTTTAAACCTCCTGACAAAGCTTTTGGGCTAATTTAATTCAACATATTTGAAACTATCATTATTATGCAATGATAAGGAGATATTTTTGAGTAATGTGGGTCTGGGAAGAAAGGATAAAGATGACAAGATGTTCATACAGTGTCTGATTAAAATGATGACACCATTTTTTTGGTAAAATCTGATTATTTAATTTTGGCATAATACTGACATTATATTTTAATATCAAAATATACTTTCGTGTTTAATAAACCACTTAGTAACAAAAGATTAAAGCTATACACAGGCTTTTGCTCCATATACCAGGCTGCTGTTGCACTGAAGGCAGTGAGTTCCATCACGGGGATTGAAAGATCCAGGGCTGCAGATCACTGGGAACAAAAAAATAAAATAAGTAAAAAAAGTTAGTAAAAAGTAAAAAAACAACAAAGTAATATTTCTGTCTTTTACCTGTTAATTTTACAAGGATGGTAAGCTGTCACAGACGATTCTTGTTTTAAATGTTTTTAATTATTTACTGAGGTAAAATTTACCACTTTTTAAAATATATCACTTTTTTTTTTTGGTTGGTCATAGGACTTGAACTCTGGGCCTGGGTGCTGTCCCTGAGCTCTTCAGCTCAAGGCTAGCGCTCTGCAACAGCATCACTTCTGGTTTTCTGGTGGTTAACTGGAGATAAAAGTCTCATGGACTTTCCTGTCCAGGCTGGCTTTGAACCACAATCCTCAGATCTCAGCCTCCCCGAGTAGGTAGGATTATAAGCGTGAGCCACTGGCGCTCAGCTCCTTACCACTTTTTAAGTGTTTCCTCCAGGAGAATACTCAGCTATACAATCAATCTCCAGAACCATTTTATCCTGCAAAACTGCAATGCTGAACCCATTAAGCAACTTCTGACCAAGAGGACAGCATCATTCTTTTTGTTTCTATGGATCTGATTAGTTAACGTTGTTCATGGAGGTAAAATCATATATAAAAAGTTTTAACTTTTCATTCTTTAGTCTGGTTCTGATCAAAGCTAAGTTTTAAAACAACTCTATGATCACATATTGCTAAGTTTAATGGCTGCAATAGCAGAAGTCATAAGAGGTCAATACCACAGGTACAGTCAAATATGTTGGGATCAGCTCATAACAACCATGAGTTGAGACAGCCTCAAATTTGCAAAGGGACTAGATCTTATTTCTAATAATATTCCAATTCCTAGTCCCCTTTCAACTACTTGTTAAATGTGTAAATTTTGAACATTAACACAACTCAGTCTGACTATCCCTCATATAAGGGCAATGCATATCCTGACTACATGGCCTAGCTATCTCTGCATGATAAAAGAAAAGCATAAATAAAACCAAGTTCAAATACTATTTGTTAAGGATTAATTTAGGAATTCCAGACAAGGCATTCAAGTCTTAAGTTCTACTTTCCTCATTTGTAAAACAGGTAAAACAATACAGCAAGCTCACCCCTGATGTTATATCCAAAAGAACTGAATACAAGGTATCTGAAAGATACCTACATACTTGTATTCCCATGATCCCTATACCATTATTACAGTAGCCAAGAGGTATCCACTTATACATGAGGGACTGACCACCTGTAAAATGCAATAGTTATCAGTCCTAAAAAGGGAAAATTTGTCATATGCTACAGCATAAATGAATGTGTTAAGTGAAATAAATCACAAAAAGATAAATATTCTACTTAGAAGAGATATCTAAAGTAGTCAAACTCATAGAAAGAAAAATTGTCTTTTTGCTTTTTGTCGGTTATGGGGCCTGAACTCTGTGCCTGGGAAAAATTGTCATTTTTTTAGGTGCTGGGAAGTGGGAAATGAGAAATTGCTAGTAAATAGATATAAATTTTCACTTCCAAGTTCTGTTTGCGTGTATATATATATATATATATATGCATACATATAAACAGCATATTTGTATATATATAAATATGTATATATATAAACAGTCCTAAAGAAACATTATAAAATTATTCACATATAACACATAAAAATACTGCATTTTTGAATAAACATAACCAAGTTGGCAAATATTTATTACCCTCTCCCCCCAAAAAAAATCACTGAGAGAAAATACAAGTAAAAGGAAATATATCCCTTGGGGATGGATTAGATTTCATATCCAAAGCTATCTATCTATTCAAGAAAATCAATATCAACATTTCAGTAACTTTTTTTGTAAATAGAAAAATGAATCCTAAAAGTGTGCTTAGAACCTGAATTTTCTTCCTTTCCTTCTTTTCCTTCCTTCCTTCCTTCCCTCCTTCCTCTCTTTCTTCCTCTTTCTTTCTTTTTCTTTCTTTTGCTTTCTTTCTTTCCTTCCTTCCTTCTTTCTTTTTTTTTTTTTGTTGTTGTTCTTGTTGTTTGGTACCAGTCCTAGGGCTAGAACTCAAGATCTGAGTGCTATCCTTGAGCTTTTATACTAAAAGCACTCCTACCACTTGAGCCACACAACTCTACTTCCAGTTTTTCTAGTAGTTAATTGTATATAAGAGTTTCACTGCTCTGGCTGGCTTCAAACAGCATTATCAGATCTGCCTCCTGAGTAGCTAGGACAACAGGTGTGGGGCAAGGGTACCTGACTCCTTAATGTTATTTATTTAACCAATTTCTAACATTTTTTAATGACTTAAGGGCCAAACAAGGCAGAATTCTGGTCAGTTGTTAAGAAAGGTACCTTGCTGAAAAAAAAAAAAAAAGATCACAGTGCTATCGAGTGATCCCAGTTACAGGATTTGAGAACTGAGGGGACCATCTTTGAATGCGTAGGATAGAACATGTACTCATTTGTTTTTATGTTTCTATCACAGTCCTGGGGATCAAACCCAGGGCCTTGAGCACACAAGACAAGTGCTCTGTCTCTGAGCAACACCCCAGCCCTTCCTCATTTACTTAAAATGGTCACTTCACACACCATGAGTGAAATTAGTTAAGACTTGAGGTAGCTGCTTGAGGTGAGAGCAAGTGAACTGGTAAGTCAGCGCAAGTCAGGGGACAAGAGTGAAACCTGTCTCTCATTTAGTAAATTTTAGCCAACTTGAAAATATATGGAATGCTACATGAATTTTTCTATCATTCTTGCACAGGGGTCATGCTAATCTTCTCTGTATCATTCTAATGTTAGCATATGTGCTGCCAAAGCATATTTTTAACATATGTTGAAAAGGAAGCGAAGCAGGCAGACAATTTAGGGTCTTTGTCTAGGTAATAAAACTAGGACCACTACTCAGCACATTGCCCACAAGACTCATCCCCACATAAGAGACAAAAATCCCAAGATGATCCACCTAGAGTGCCTTAAATTGCTGAAGATGATGCAGATAAAGTTCCTTGAGTCAGACCAGCTGGGACTAAGTTCAGAACCAGAAACAAAGCATTTGGCAGGCAAAGCTCTCTTTCCTGGTGTATACACACAGAAGGCTAGAACAACGACCATAGAGAAATCTTTGGCCCTATGGTGTTTGGCATGAGAATATTCAGTATCTAAAGGGCTTCTACACAATGTTCTGGACATGGGCAGAGACACATTTGTTACACTTGTCAATCAACCTGTCCATCAGTTTCTGACAAATGAAGGCTGGCTCATACCTATCCATGACTTTTACATCCCAGCAACAAAGCCTTCAATACTCAGGAGAGCCTTGCTCAAGCCTGACACTTTCTTACAGTATATCTCATTTTCTCTTTAATAAATTTGTCTATCATTTTAATTGTTTTATGTCTTGCTTGAATTCTTAACAAGACAAAAAGAATAAAGATAGGGCTGCATACACTCAATAAAATTAATGAGCTTCAAGCTGTATCACCTCTGATACCAGAAGGAAAAAATTTCATACTTTCTAATTATAAAACATAATACAAAGTTACAATGACCCAAACAGTATAGTGTTGGTATAAAGACAGTAAGACAGAAAAATGGACCAGAATTATTGAGTCAAATGATTTTAGTCAGGGTACCAAGGAAAGTACGTTTTTTCAATATATTGTATTGCAAAAACTAAATATTTACATGCAACTGAATGCAGTTATGATTCTTACATTATTTATAATAATCAATTTACAATGAATCAAAGACCTAAACCTAAGAAATAAGCCTACAAATTAATATTGAGAAGAAAAGACTGAAAAAAAACTCTCTATAAGACTGGAATTTGAAGTAATTTCTTTAATGTGACACAAAAAACACAGCAGCAACAATAAGTACAATTGATTCAATCTCAACTAATTTTTTTTGCATCTAAGGACACTGAATGTAATGGAAAGGCAAACCACAAAAACAGAGAAAGTTCTTGTAAATAGGATGTCTGATAAAGGGTTAATATCTAGAATATGACACCAAAAAATAGATAAAAAATATGAACAGATATTTCTCAAGAAAAGCAAATTCATACATAATTCATACATAATTGGTGCTTACCATTAGGGAAATGCAAATCTAAACTATAACTAGAGACCATTTCAAACACATTAGAATGGCAATCAAAGTAATGCAAAATAGCAAATGTTGGTGTGGATGTTGAGATATCTAGAAGTCTTGTGCTTGGCTAATGGTAATATAAAATGGTGTAGCACTGTGTAAAACAATATTAATAACTCCTCAACAAGTTTAAAATAGAATTAATGTATGATACATCAATTCTACTTTGGCTTTTTAGTGAAAAGAACTGAAAGTAGAATTTCAAAGAGATATCTACATACCTTGTGATGTTAATGTTTGTATCTCCCACCAAATTGCTATGTTGAAGCCCAGGCCCCCAGTGAGGCTGTATTTAGATAGTGCCTGAAAGACAGTGAACTTAAATGAGCTGAAAAGGGAAGGGACCTGATATGATGGATGATCATCATAGAAGAGGCCCCAAAAGACTGTTTAAACACACTTTTCTGTGTCTCTCCACCAAGCACCAAGGAAAAGCCATGTGAGGACATAATCAGAGATGGCTATCTGCAATGTTTAGGATAACCCTCACCAGAAAATGAATTAAGTGAAACTTTGCTTGCTCTTGTACTTCTAGCCATAAAAACGAGAAAAATAGATTTCTGTGCTTTCAACACAGAGAATTTTATTATAGTAGTCCAGTCTAATATAATGTATATTCAAAAGAACTGTAAAAGTAGGATTACCAGGGGTATTTGCACACTTGTATTTAATATTACTCAGAAGAGCCAAGAGATGGTAGCCACCCAGTATGTATAAAAAGATAATACACACACACACAAACACAAACACAGACAACATAATATTTATCCTTCAAAAGGAAGGGAACTCTCATATGTGCTATAAAAAGAATATTAAGAAAAATAGGTAATAAAAACAAAAATATTGGAGGATTCCATCTATGCATGGTGTTGGCAATGTCAA